TAAGTTTTACCTTTTTTTGGTATAGAGGCAAATACAGACTTACTCAAGTACCTCAGTATGACACGTAGGGTCCTTGTTTAATTTTACTCTTCCTTCCTTGGCAGAAAATTTACACGCCAGAAGCGTAACTCTTAATACACTGTTTTTTGAAAAGCCCCTTTGCATTTTGTGACTTTCTTTGTACCCCAGGAGTTGGTCACGAATGGGATAATCTCTGCTGTCTTTCTTGAGAATTAAGTTTTATAAAGTTACCATTTCTTTCTAGTAAGTTAAAAAAAATGCTAAGGAAAGAAACCAGTTGGATGTGGCATATGACCCACAGTTTTAAGACGTTTGTCATCCAGTCAGGACATACAGGTATGTCCGTGAAAGAGTGGAAACAACTTAATCCCTCTCATTGATGAAACTGAAAATAGTTGTAATATCGTTATCATCATTATTATTATACACTTTCAAGTATTTTATTTGTCCTGTTCTAAAAATTATGATGGGTATTTAAAAATTCCAGGTCTACACTTGTGCCAAATGCCCATTAAGTGGCCTTCCTATGCTGAAAGTTTTAAAAATGAATATTACACTGTATGTTAACTGCACTGGAATTACAAAAGAACATTGTTATAGGAGCCACTGACATTTTAGAAATCAGAAGGTGATCTGATCACATCTGTGTTCCAGAAACATAACTCTGCTTGTTCCCATATGTTAACTGTATTATTGGTTTTTTATCACAGGCTGCATTACAAATTGGTAAGCATTTCTTTGTCTTATTTTCACAACAATATCAGTTAACCTGCGCCTGGCAGTCTGTATCATGAACATATGCTAGAGATCACAAATTTGGCAGAAAAGGGAATTGTAAATTAAATCTCATTTTAGTGCAAGGACTGCATCATAGCTACCAAGACCTAGTTTTCAAAGGAAGTAAATTTACATGGAATAATAAAGTCCCTCCCCTAGATACATTTGAAAAACACATGAACTTACATCAAAAATTATTATAACATGGTGCCAGTACTACAATTTAGTCACTGTATGTTGAAGAACTATGCATTTTATAAATACCAAAACATATAGTATCTTGAAGCGTAAAATCATCTAGTGAGATAACGTAAATCTTAGTGGGTGATGTTAAGTGAATTTCGCAGTTACCTTCAGAAACTGCAGGTAGCGTCCTATTTAATAAAGAATGACTTTGAAGGAGACTTACAAGTTTGGGCACGTTATTCTCTTTGAGTAAAATAGACACACTTTTCTAAAAGTACAGTTGTGTAACACAGTCACACTTGGGCCACAAATCGCTTTTGATTTTCAAGCTTTGCAGTTTATTGCCGCAGTACTATCAGTTGCCCCTTCATTTTCATTCTTCTCATTAATGCTAGTCGAGTTCGTCAAGAGACTGAGATGTTACGATTAATGACTGACGGGGCCCAAAGCACACAGGGTTCACCATGTCCCTCACAGACTTCATAAGGTTTTGTTGTACTAACATTGCAGGCTGCAGCGGGCCCTAAGAAGTGATGAAAGTGATCACAGCCTTTCAGAGCCCTACGTTTAGGTCTGATTATTGGAGCACACTGACTGGATTAATGTTTAACAGCAGCTGTCCTGCGGATTCACTGAGGGAGTTGAGAGATGGCTATTTCATTCTCCTTTACTCGACTGGCCTTTTTGCACAGTTAATTAAGACCCGCTGAAGAATAGCCTTAGGAATAGGGCCTGGGAAGGGAGAGCCTTTTAAATAATGCAGATGTAATAGTGCATTTATTTTCAAAGCCCAAGTAGCTAGTTTTACCCAGTTTGGATTAGTGGGATCAGATTTGATGTTGCTTTCTGGGTAGAGAACTAATACTAAGAAACGACTAATTTTCTTGACTGTAATCTGAGCTTTTAAGTTACTAGGCGCTGTTAAAGAGCTGAGCTTGTAGAGTAAGTTCACGCGCAGTTCCGTTTTCATAATTTTCTCTAGTTACGATATATACACAGAAAGAACATATGCATACAGTTTAAGGACTGATGATCATGTGGACACTCAGGTAAGTAGGGCTCAGATGGAGAAAAATTACCAGCATTCCAGAAGCCCCACGCTCCCCATGTGCTCCATTCAAAAGGCGACCCCCTCTCTCCTCTGGGTGGCTATCATCTTTACTTTTGTCATTTCCTTGCTTCTTTTTCTAATGTGTCAACTTATATTTGCACCCTAAAACGACATGATTTAGGTTTGCCTAGCTTCAAACTTAACACGAATAGGGTTGCGTTATGGGCCCCTGTGTCTGGCATCTTTCACTCAGCATTACATGTCTGAGATTTTCTCCTCGTTTTTGCTCGCCAGTGTGTTTTTTTAAAAAAGACTTTTCTGTATTTGCCCCTCTCCCTTTTTTACTTAGGATTCCTATAACTCTCTAAATGCTCTCAGATAGTCCTACTTTGCCTCCCTGGATTTTCTGCTAAATAAGGTCTAACGATTGAAACTCGCCTGGACCCCGGTTTTGTGAACTGACCCGGCTGCCCCCGTTTGACGGCCTTCGTTTAGATGAGACTACATCTTTAAGGCATCTGTGCTCCGTTAAAAACCTTCCTTTCTCCACGGCTGGTCCAAGGGTCTGGTCACGTGACTCCCCCAGTGACATCACATTCTGACCGCCGGGGAACACTGGTGGTGCTTTAGGTGGCATTTGTTCCTGCGAAAGGCAGGGAACGCAGCAAGTGCCCTTCTAAAGCAGTGCACCCCAGGGCTCCTTCTGTAAATGGCCAAATGCTGGCTGCCAAGGTTATTTCTTCCTTGAGGCAGAAAAAAAGAAAGCTGTGATCGCAGGTAAGCAGACTTGAGCCCAGCCCAGCACCGAAGTGTGACCCCAGGGAGAAGGGGGATCTGGAGAATCACAAGCAGTCTGTTTGTCGGCTTCTAATCACTGCCTGCTCTTTTCGGAGCCGCCTGACAATTTGCGTTGCTAACGGGAGACTGTCTGCGAGGCAGAATGATGCAGTGCTCATGTTACCTAGTGATGTAATAGGAGTCTTTCTTTCCTTTTGGGAAGCTGTTGCAGGGCTTCATGTTTGTCTTAATGTCCGTAGAGCTGGGGGCCTCCTGTGACATACAGTGTAACCTTAGATAGCTCTCGGGTGCTTTTAAAAATCAGTTGCACAAAATCCTCTCCTAAATTTCTCCTGAGAGGAGAGCGCTTGAGTCAGAGCAAATTCATTTGAAGCATTAACCTGCTTTCAAAAGTAAAATTCTGGTTGTTGGGTGTCCTGTGTGTTCATGTCAGCATTTGTCTTGAGAATTCAAACAGCTTGGTTTTCTTTTTTTCCTTTCTTTTTTTTTTTCTTTTTCTTTCTTTCTTTCTTTTTTTTTCTTTCTCACCATACTTCATTTTCTTTCTGCCCTCCTTTCCTAGTTGACTGTTTCCCTCCAAGCTCTCAGACACACCAGCATTAATCTTTATCAGTATGCCACTGACAGGATAGGAAATGCTGGGCTGGTGATTCAGCAACCAACCATTTCACAGTCAGGTAGGCTTGAAGATATGGAAAGGACTTTGGTTCGGAGTTTTAAGATTAACTGGTTCCCCACCTCCACTCCAGCCCCACCCGCCACCCTCAATAGGATCTGGATTCTGCAGAGCTTTTCTTTTTAAATGTGTGTGTTGCCGGTGAAAGGTACGCCACCCCCCATCCCAGGGAGGAATTTGGAAGACGGACAGTTTGTAAATCAGGTACAGCTTGGGGGTTAATTCCCACTTACCCTAGGAGAGTGCTGAAGTTGTCTGTGGGAGTTTGGAGTGAAGATGGGGACGCAGTTGGGGGGTGGGGGAGCTGGGTGTCCTCTCAGGGCCCACTTTGGCCTTCTCTGCAGAGGGATTCATCACCAAACAGTCTGGATGAAGCTTTGTCCCTGCCAAGGTTGACGCTGCAAATGTGAGTTTTGGCTGGTTGAGTTCAATGATAGCATTACTCTGCATTTTTCCTCAGTGCACATTTGCATAAATTCCTGAATACTGTTTTGCATTTTGTGTTTAATAGAGAAGTACTGTTTCCCCAGAGGACGGTGTGGAACAAGTTTGTCAAGCAATATTAAGTAACCTAGTTTGTGTACTGCTCCAGAGTTTGAATACTTCATTCTCATCCCCACGGTTCCGCAAATAAACTTCCATTCCGCTGTTATTTCTTGAATCTTGGATATGTGTTAAATGCGAGAATGCAATGGCGACTCAGAGAGCTGCCCTCAAAGAGCTTCCGGTCTAGAAAGGAAGACAAAAATATTTGCATTAAGTGATTATAATAGAAGTGCTGAAAGCAAAGCAGAGAAAGGACTGGTTGGGCAAGTGGGTATGTGGCTTCCATGAAAGGATCAAGGAGGGACATTCCATTGCGTGGCCAGGCACTGGTCCTTGAATCTCTGCTTGTAAGTCTTAGACTGTTCTGCCATAGTGGAAGTTTCTAGGAGCCCATTGCATCAAGGATCAAAGTCTTCAACCTATTGAAAGCTAGTATGTACATTCCAGCTGGCTTAACTCTTGAAGAGCCAGACATGCTTTCTTTGGAGTTCCCACTCAGGCAAAAGCCACCTCCCAGAATTGAATTACTGCCTTACACATGCAAAATAGTTTCTGGTGTGCTCTGTCTGCAAAGACCTTTGGTCCTTTTGTCTCCCTTCCATAAAAGAGACTGAAATACCTAAGCTGCTTCAGTGTGCTCCAGTATTTTGTTTCAGAAATCCTTTTCCCACTACACTTCAACTCCTGCCAGTTCTCCCCTTTGTACTGTCCTGCTCATCTGTCCCTTTCCATTTAGACTGCCTTAAGGCACTCTTCGTTTTGTGCCTAGACCACAGAAACCGCTAAATATGATGGATGTTCCCACCAATGATTATATTGCTTTATCAGCACACCCTAACTGTAATCATCCAATGGTTTAAGGACTCACCTTTTGGTACTCATCAGGGAGGTGTTAAAGTGTTTAGAGTGTCTGAGGTGCTAATGTCTGCTTCCTGTTCAATACAGAGGACAAGTCATACAATGGTGGAGGAATAGGTTCTTCAAATAGGATGATGGACTTCTTGGAGGAGCCGATCCCTGGTGTGGGGACCTATGATGATTTCAACACAATTGACTGGGTGAGGGAGAAGTCTCGAGACCGGGATAGGCATCGAGAGGTAAGAACAAAGATGGTAACGCAAGTTAAGTGTCAGGAAACATCAGGGGAAGAGGTTGAAGATACGTATTCTTTATATGTCTGTTTTCTTTTGGCCTTGGACGTGGCTGAATCTGGTGTCTACTGGCAATGTAGGGTTTTTTTTTTAACTTACTTTATTTTTAGGGCATTTTGTGTCTGATTTTAAAAATTTCTATTTAATGGTGATTTATTTTCCTATAATAAAGTAGTTGGAAAGGATCCTCACAGCCCTGATGTGGGTATAAGTGCCTATGTAAAGAGGTAAAAACAAACTTGGTGGAGGGGACCGAAGTACGTTTCAGAGGTCTTCTTCCTCGATCTCATTTCCCTTTTATGGTTTTCCCTGAAACAGGATTTTTAGAACTAAGAAAAGAAAGGGGGCTTCTTTCAAAGGAATAAAAGGAAAAAAAAAATCTCAGCGCCCTGGTGTTTACTGAAGCCTACAGGATAAAGTCCTTATGATTATGGCTCTTGTACAACCATAAAAGAAAAGTACGCATTCGACTCAAACCCACAAGACCAACCAAATTCAAATTAAGGATGTTAATTTAATGTGACAGGTAATAAGATGGCACTCCCAGCTATGGCACAGATTCCTTTGAATTTGGTGAGAGAATTGCCCCACTTTTCCCTTTCCAGAGTCCATGAAAACCTCTTAGAGCAGTCTGCCAAGGTCTTTTGCCCTTAACTTGTTGCCGTGCATCATTTAAATCAGGGAGTCACAATTTCTAGCTCCTCTCAGGGCCACGTGGAGAGCTTACTCAAAAGGGAGGGCCCCCTAGCCCCAGTGATCCAAATTCAGCGGTTGATCCTCTGGTGAGACATTTCTTCAGCCAGCCTTAGGTGTGGTTGTTTCTTTCTTATTGTTTCTGCTTTGAGTCCAAATTTAAAACGTGATTTTGAAGTCAGTCCCACTCTCTCCCGAGTTCATGATTTCCTTTGCTCGGAGCCAGGCAAGTCTCCTGAGCAGTGAGGGGCAGATCGCTTTTTATTCTTAAGCCCTTCCCGTCTCCTGACTGGTTTTCTCATAATCACCTGAGCCTAGCAGTCAGGTTGTCCCTGGTAGAGGTTTTGAGAAATGTCTGCGTAATCCTTGGATTTCTGATCATCTCACTGAGTTTTCTGTCCTAACTGAAAAAAGGGGATCTCTACAAAAACACTCGCTGTTTTTCATAAGGTTGCCGCTACTTGGGCACACACGCACATGTTCTGTCATACCAGTTCATCAGGCAGGCTTTAGAATTTCTGCCATCCGTAATTCAGAGTTCAGTTTGTCGTTCAGCATGTTATTTCCATTGTGAAAGTCATCTGGGATATGACAAGGGCATATTTCCCACTATCTGAAAATGGTTGCATCCAAGACACATTATGCCAATTACTAATAATTCAAAACCAGTTAGAATGTGTTTATCAAGTCTTCAAAAGGGACTTTTTTTTGGCATGAACTGTTCATCATTAGACTGGAAACACTGTTGCAGAGAAAAATATCGCCTTATCTACTTTAGGCACTAAAACTGGAAACTTAAGGTCATAGGTCGAAATGAGTTGTTGAATGCTTTTAAAATGTTTTTAGTGATTTATCATTATTTGCGATAGTGCTATAGATGAAGATCGGGTAACGAAGTCACAGTTTCAAAGATAAGAAATAGAGGTGCAGAGAAGGGGACAGTGACAAAGCTGTCTGAATGCTTGATTTTGAAGTGTGGGCACTGAAGGGTTAAATTGAGGAGGTTAGGGCCTGAAATGTAGACTTTTCTGCACCCTTCTCAATTAGCCTCAGTATTCCCAGCAAGTTTTTTTTAAAGATTTTATTTATTTATTTTTTAAAAAGATTTTATTTTTATTTATTTGAGAGAGAGAGAGCATGAACAGAGAGGAGAGGCAGAAGGAGAAGTAGAAGCAAGCTCCCTGCGTTGTGGGGCTCGATCCCCGAACCCTGGGATCGTGACCTGAGCCCAAGGCAGATGCCTAACCAACTAAGCCACCCAGGTGCCCTTCTGCCATTCCCAGCAGATTTTTGGAAATAAAGAGATGCATCCGTGATATCATTTAGTATCTGTGATCAGTGCGGGGAGCAAGTCTTGGAACTTGCTGACCTGAAGTAGCGCCCCAATAGGAAACCTCACACTGTACTTTCACCACTCAAATAAGCCCATGTTTGTGGAATGAGCCCATGTTTGTGGATTGGAAAAACAATCAACCTATTGGCCGTGAGTCAAGAGACCATCCTTAGAATATCGGATGTCTAGGGCAGAGACCACTGCAAAAAGCAAAACAAATTGAGGTGATAGAGAATTAGCAGCTGAATGGGGAATCCCTGACTAAGGTACCTGGAGCCATTGCCATACTGCAGAGAAAGGTAGGGTTCAGTAAGACGGGCTCAGTAAAACTCCCAAGTTCCTGATGAGGTCAGTTTAGCCCAGAATTATCTGAGAAGTAACTCCACCATTGGTCTCTATGCCTAATGAACAGATTTGTCTTTGTGTTTCTTTACTGTGCATTTAAAGGTGAGAAAGCAAGTGTGTGTGTAGAGTGTGCCAAATTTTTCCCCTCATTTCTCCCTAGATTACCAATAAAAGCAAAGAGTCGACATGGGCCTTAATTCACAGTGTGAGTGATGCTTTTTCTGGCTGGTTGTTGATGCTACTTATTGGGCTTTTATCAGGTATGGTAAACTATGTTTATTTTCTTAAAAAATCTCCTAAAATTTTGTGGTGTGCCCTTCCCCAAATCATGAACTGAGTTGCGTGCTGTTTTTTTTTACTGTTTTCCCACATGAAATAAATTGCTGGTGGACCTCGAGGAAGCTCAGTGTTCCCATCTGTAAAGGGATACTAATACTTGCTTCCCCTTCCTTAAAGAAATGCAGTTAAACGAGGAAATGTATCTAAATGCATTTATACGCTATTAAATATTATATCCATTTTAAGGCGCTATTAGCACTGCGTTTCAGTGATTGTCGTGAGGAAGAGTTCTTCTAATAGAGACAATCAAAGTTTTTTGTGTTAAAAATTTTATTTATTTGAGACGGAGAGAGAGAGCATGAACAGGGGAAGGGCAGAGGGAGAGGCAGACTCCCCGCTGAGTATGGAGCCCCACGTTGGGGCTCGATCCCAGGACCCAGGGATCATGACCCAAGCTGAAGTAAATGCTTAACCTACTGAGGCTCCCTCCCAGGTGTCCTGAGACAATCCGTTTTTCTTTTTCTTTTTTTTTTTTAAACACATAATACATATGGTTTCTTTTCCTTAACATTTATTTTTTATTTTGTTTTTTCAGTGTTCCAAGATTCATTGTTTATGTATCATACCCAGTGCTACTACATGGGGTTCCTAGGAGGAGATAGAGACCTTCCTGGGAGCTTTTTGTAGCTATTTCTTAAACATCTGCTCTCTCATTTGGTGGTGAAGAACATCAGAGAAGATAGGGCCCATACCCTCCAGAAACTTATAATGTCATTCTTCCACGCTGGCCGACAAGTGGGATGACCCTTCCTTTTCCTGTCATCTCCATCAACCTCCCAAGCCACGCCAAATAATGCACAGTCTAACTAGGAATAGTGCACTTGCTAAGCCCATACATCTTTAAAGCAAGCTCCCACGCAGGCTTCCCCTCCCACCGAGGAAGCAGAAAGCCAAGAATACCTGGGAGAGATGCTAAGGATTGTATCCTTATGGTAGTAAAAGATGGAAGACCTGGAATACTAAGCTGAAAGAGAAGTTAGGTGGGAAACCTGGAGGTAGATGGGATAAAAAGACTTATTAGCATGGGCTCTACTTCACAGGACTTGAATCCCAGCCCCGCCGCTTACTAGTTTTGTGACTTTTGGCAAGTTTCTTAACCGTTGGCAGCTCTAGTTTACTGATCTGTAAAACGGGGCTAGCAAGAGTACCTGTAGTCCACATTTGCTGTGAGGACAGAGTAGTAGGTAGATGAGATGTAGCACGCATAGTGCTCTGCACGGTGCCCACAGTTGTTAACAGCACTGTTGCTGCTGTTACGAGCCACAGAGCATAAGACAATTGCTACACATGAAGAAAGGCTCAGCCATAACTGGGTTTTCAAAGATTACCTAGGGAAGGTGTCAGCAGTGTTTTTTGTTAAAGGACTGGATGGTCCCTGTAGTATGAAAGTAGCCATAGACAATAGGTAAAGAAATGAGCGTGGCTGAGACCAAGCAGAACTTCATTTACAAGCATGAAGGCGCATTTGACCCCTGGGCCATAGTTTGCCAACCGCAGTCTAGGGTGTTAATGCTACCCCTTCTGGCCAGTTTAGAGTTGGCTGATGATGGACCGAGTGGTCTGTAATGCTAAATATTGCAAAGAGTCTGAAGGGAAGGAAGAGGGCTGAGAAAAGGTTATATAGCTGAGCAGTTAGTAGGATAGCAGTGACCTTGGAAAACTATCTCATAAATACTAGGAGTCAGATTTCAAGGCGAAGCAACCATTGTAGAGATTTCAGAGCTATTAGGTGCCCATTGGAAGACGAGAAGGGCCAGAAGCTAGGGATGGTAATGAGGACAGGGGAAAGCATTTTGTTCTGTACGACGGGAAACCTGATAAAATTTGTAACCGAGGAAGGGGCTCATTAGGAAAGGAGAAATAGCAGGAAGTGGGAGGATAGGATTGAGGGTACTGGTGTTAGATAGAATAAGGACAGGCTCACGTGAAACAGCCAGAAAACAAGCCAAACTCTGTAACACGTGAATTTTCTGAGTCTGGGCAATCTGTGCAGTTAAGAGAAGGCGGAGAGGGTGGGCGTGGCCAAGAGGCGTCAAACAAGGTGTTAGATTTGACTAGGTTATTCAAGTATGTAAATAACCTCTGTTAACACTTTTAGCACCTACCCAAACATACACACGGCATGGCCTCCAGCCTGTTGGAATGTAGGCGTAATATCCTCAACTTTTTAATGTATTTCTTGTCACTAGGTGGCCAGTGAATGTTTTTCTTTTCCCTCGTACACACAGGGCATTTTGTTTTGAGGCATCGCAGAGCAACAAGAAGCAGTGTGTCTGAATGTAGGAACAGTCTGGGAATTCAGGGGCTGTGAATTTTATGATGTCTTTGCTATTTCCCTAAAGCATGATTCTAGACCATTTCATTTCTTTATGCCAGAGTTTCTTCATCTGGACGACAGAAATGATGAGAAGGCCAGAATCAAAAGTACTGTAATGATCATAACCCTACCAGGCTATTAACCGGAGCACATAATTCCCCATTCACTATTCATTTTCTCAGAATTGCCTTTGGTGGCTGTTCTGCACATAATATAGTTTGCTCCTGTTTCACTGAGAAAACTTCTAGATGGTCACGTCCAAGGCTCGGGAGGCTTCAACATGTCTGTAGCTTCATGTCACTTGCCACGTGCGTCACGGTCCGTGCTTTCTCAAATTTGCTTTTCTCAGCCTCGAATGCCTTCCTGCCCTGGCTCAGGTTCCCTTGTCCATGGAGCAGGATTGCTAACAAGGTTGAGCTCTCCTCTCCATGGTCTTCATCAGCTCCCTTACCCTAGCCTCAAACAAAGATCATGTAAGAGTCTTCAAGAAAGGCAGTTCATATTTTCTCAGTCTTACATAAATAGTGAGAACAAAATGATCTTTAATAAGGTTGACTGTCTTCGGGGTTCAGGATCCATCAGTTGTGAGGCAAAGCAGAATCTTGGCCACGTAAATCAGCTAAAAGGCAAATCCACTCAGCCCTTGCTCCCTCCCAACCCCTTTGCCCTCCCCCAAGCTCTCCCTATGTAGAAATTCTACAGACACAGTATTCAGTGCAGACAGTGCTTTGTGGTATTTTCTCCCCTTTTTACCCCCTCTTGAATAGGTATTTAATGACAGGCAAAAATCTCTTGGGAGGTGATAGGTGGAAATCAAGGCGACAGAACATCAGAAAGAGGTTGCAGGGGGAGCCAGAAGGTTTATGGCTTGTCCATTATTTTGTCACCTTTTCCCTCATTTTCTCTTAATAACTTTGACCTCCCCTTCCCTCACCTCAAATCAGGTTCCTTAGCTGGCTTGATAGACATTTCTGCTCATTGGATGACAGACTTGAAAGAAGGCATATGCACAGAAGGATTCTGGTTTAACCATGAGCACTGTTGCTGGAACTCCGACCACGTCACCTTCGAAGACAGAGACAAATGCCCAGAGTGGAACAGCTGGTCCCAGCTTATCATCAGCACGGATGAGGTACAGTGTTGTGAAGATTCCCGAACCGCTGACTGTTATTCTTACACTGACTGAATTTCTTATACTGTACTCATGGCACTTGTGGAATGTGCCCCTATTTTCCTCTTCATGGAAAGGGGAACCCGCTCCAGCTTCCTTTCTCTGTGGAGTAAGTGCGGCCCTATTTCCCTCACTTCTGCCACGTGGAATCCTTTGATGCTTTACATAGTGACTTAACGTTTTTGCTTCTCGTAAACAGTCCCGGTGTTTCTCCTTAGCTATTAGTACGCAGTGTGATTGAATCTGCCCTTCTCTAATAATTTCGGTAAAGATGTCAGAGCCAGCCAACTGGGACGCTATAATTTCTAACAAAAACAGAGTGGGTTAAAAATGTGTCTGTTGTATACACTCCAAAAGTAATTTTCCCCTGAGCATTGCATTAGAACATTTAAAAAAAAATTAGAATACATTCCATAGGAAAAAAACAGAAACGCAGAAGTAAAATTGCCTGTAGTCTTCTTTGGAGATTAAATCAATATTTTCATTTGTTCTTGTCTCCCAGCAGATATTTTTCAATGTAAAAGTAACATTGTTTTTCAGTTCCTTCCCTTTCTATTACCACTTGGGCTGTTTGTTAGGTCTCTCCTACTAAAAACAAAACACACAAGACAGAATATAACAGCTCTCAATTCCCAATTCCTTTCTGGCTTCTACCAACCGAAACAGGTGCCATCTCAGCTCACTCCTCATTTACCCTGTTGGCGAAGTGACTGAGACTAGGCTAGGATTTATATTTATACATTTAAAATGCATTTTTATTCCTACTTCGGTCCACAGATGATTTGAAATGGGGCGTGTGGATGTGCAGGTGCACGTGCACTCTCCCCCCCCCCACACACACAGTCAAGGGAAAAGAAGGATGGGAAAATAATAAAGTCAGAAATAAGAGTCTTTATGTACATAAATGACTGTACGCATTGGCTCGGGGAAGGAGGTCAGTAAAAGGATTGGATACATACCATATGTGTGAGAGGGTTTAGATCTATTCTTCTCAAACTGGGCTAAGGTTGGATGCCAGTGGGTGGCTGAAACCGCAGGATAAATGCTGTGTGCCATCTCAGAAAATCAGGGTTTTTTTTGAATATATTTTTTAAAATTACATTGAATTACAAAGGGATGCACAATTCCCGTGTTTATTAAGATAACACAATCTCTGTTTTAGCTCTGCTCCTGCGTAACCTACCCCCTACCCTCTCTCCTAGATTAGGAGTACTTGGGTAGAAAACTTTGAGAAGCACTGGAGTTTAGGGTGAACGTGTGTGTGTGTGTGTGAGAGAGATAGAGAGAGAGAGAGAGAGAGAGACGAGGGAGGGAGATTCCCTTGCCTTTTTTTTTTATTCTTTTATTATTTATTTTAAAGATTTTATTTATTTATTTGACAGAGAGAGAGATCACAAGTAGGCAGAGAGAGAGGAAGAAGCAGGCTCCCTGCTGAGCAGAGAGCCCGATGTGGGGCTCGATCCCAGGACCCTGGGATCATGACCTGAGCCAAAGGCAGAGGCTTTTACCCACTGAGCCACCCAGGTGCCCCTTTATTCTTTCATTTTTGAAGTCCTTATAGATTCACAAAAAGTTGCAAAACAAGGGAGGTCTCCCATACCCTTCACCCAGGTGTCCCCCAGTGGTAACATCTTCTCTGACTAGAAAATAAGTAGCAGGACAAGGATATGATCCACAGATTTTATTTCACCAATTTTACGTGCATAGATGTGTGTGTATGTATACCTGTGTATGTGTGTATGTAGTTCTCTGCAATTTTACTGCCTGTGTAGATTTGTGTTATCACCACTACAGTCAAGGTCTAGAACTGTTGTTCATCCTGGCAAGGCTCTGCCGTGCTACCCCGTGTGTGTGTGTGTGTGTGTGTGTGTGTGTGTCTGTGTGTGTGTGTGTGTGTCTGTGTTTAAATAGTCCAACTGTAGCTCTCAAACGGGAGCTTGAGATTTGCTCAAGTGACATATTTCTCTGGTCATCCTTTTTTTAATGAATGAAATCCTTGCCTGGAGAGAGTCTTCTAGATTCTAAGAGTTCTCCAGCCAAGTACTTAGCCTCCAGGTCTGTGCCCCTAGCCACTTCTACCTACTTGCCTTTTCACTCCCCCTCCCTCTTTGTTTCCCCCCTTTGGAAAGTCTTCTTCCTCCCTAGCTACATTTGAAAGGCCAAGAGAGCAATTATCTATTCCTCTGAGGGACTAAAATAATGGAAAACTTGTGTCAAAGCTATAACTTAGGAGGGGGAAAAAAAAACAACCCTGAGCAGTTTGGCTCTCCTTGTCTAGGTCAGTGAATTATTTTAATAATGTTTTATGTTTTAAGAAGTCAGAAGTACAGTGAGTTTTGTGTTTCATGTAATTTGAGTGAGTTTCAACTTCTACAGTTTTTATCAGTAAGCATGATCTCCTGATGTTCAAAATAGCTTTTTTTGGCCGGTGGGTTGGGTGGGGGGGGAAGGTGTAACTGTTTGCCAGCCCTTTATGTTGGTGACTCCTTATTACTGGTCAAATTAGATTTATTTTCTGGCAGACTTCATTAGCATAGGAGGACAGTCTCAAAAGTATATTCACTCCATTTTAAAAAGAGGGGTTGCTGTTTTATTTTTCGGGAGAGCTGGCATCTCGGTGGTGTTGTTTTATGGTCAGAGCCTGAAACTTTCTGCTCACATCTACTTGTTGCTGAGTCTGTGATAGCAGAATTCTCTCAAAGAGAGAATTCTCTCTGCAGAACTTAATTAACTGTGTATTTTAAGGAAACCGCTCAGGAATTTTCGACACTATAACCTCCCATGAGAATCTGACACCAAGGTAGGTAGAGCTGGTCTTCACTTCAAATGTGTAGCCAATAACAGAGCTGTCAAGATTCTTAATAAAATTGACATAAAATGAGACCTACTTGACCCCCAAACCTGCCAGAGGTCTCATGTTGAACCTGAGTTTGCTTAGGGTGCTGTCTGTTCCTCCTCCTTGTCGATCCTCAGCAGCTGGCGTCCGTTTCCTTGGGAGGGAGCAAAGCCTCACATTTTCGCTTCCAAGTGGGCTGACAGTGTTTCAGGGGTTGCCTTGCTGCCCGTCTTGGAAGGAACGTTTTGAGCGATGTGATACCGGTCTTTTTCCTCCCGAGCCCCTCTCCCAAAACCCTTTTCGTCAGCAGTGCTCCGTGCCTCACTGAGGCAGCTTGGGCTAAAACAAGCTTCTTCCTTTTTTCCCCTGTTCTAGGGAGCCTTTGCCTACATAGTCAATTATTTCATGTATGTCCTCTGGGCTCTCCTATTTGCCTTCCTCGCCGTGTCTCTTGTCAAAGTGTTTGCACCTTATGCCTGTGGCTCCGGAATTCCTGAGGTGAGTTTCTCAAACGGTTTATAAATGGTTAACAGTAGTGAATCCTTCCTGGTTAAGAGCCTTTAATAGGTATTCCAGCATATCCTGCAATTCGAATCTGAAACAGGATCAGACCCTGAGGAAATCTGGAGTTTCTCTAGGTCTTCCCTCAAGTCTCCCAGCCTGGGCCACCTGGACACGAAAGGGGGTGGGTTCCTAGCCCCCCTGCGGGTTCCTGGGGAATCAGGCCTCTTGAAAGCCAACCCCTGCTCCCTACCCAAGGAGATCAAGGGTAGACCCCAAGTTTCTGGCCTGAAAAAGTACTGGCATTGTCAACTTTGTTCGAGCAGGAGAAATAAAACTATTTTGCTACATTTCCTATAGTATGACTAGGGCTGGAAGGTTGGGGGGGGGGGTGGCTGAAGTCCTGTTCCCGACTACTTTTGGCTTAGATTGCTTGACAGTGACCGAAACCACTGAGATTTGAGGTTACCCAGATGACCTTGCCCCTCTCTGTTTCCTGACCAAGTCATAGTTACAAATTTCTTTGGCAGAGAATCAAGGCTCTACTGGCCTGTAAGGATGTAAGTAAGGAAAACACCCTCCCACTCTGCCTCCCCTTCTCCAAATACGCACACTCTCATGCTTGCAGTACTCTCTTGCCCAGCTAGCACATGGCTGGGGGGCGGGGGAAAGGAACTTGAAAGCTTAAAGAACAGTTCTTGCTTTCTTGGACTCCCAGGCTCCCTCCCAAATTGGGGTCATGTAGGTCAAACATTTATATGTCACTTGTTTGAAAGGTGCAGTTTCCATAATGAGGTCCAGATTATTGCTTCCCAACCTTGTTTACTTGCCTAGTCTATATTTAATCTCTCTGTGTTTGACCTGCAGATAAAAACTATCTTGAGCGGTTTTATTATTAGGGGCTATTTGGGTAAGTGGACCCTGATTATCAAAACCATCACATTGGTGCTGGCCGTGTCATCTGGCTTGAGCCTGGGCAAAGAGGGCCCCCTAGTGCACGTGGCTTGCTGCTGTGGGAACATCCTGTGCCATTGTTTCAACAAATATAGGAAGAATGAAGCCAAGCGCAGAGAGGTAATAACAGATGGCCTGAATTGTCTCTTTTTTGGTGAGCATAAATGGTCCGATCTTAGGGATGAGGATTTAGGGACTCTACCAATATCAGTACAAATACCCTGTGACCCAGTTGTTCCACTTCTAGGAATTTATCCTACAGACACCCCAAGTGTGTGTGGGAACCAAGGTATGTGTGTGGGGCTAGTCGGTGCAGCATTTGTCGATATCGTGGTAAAACCAAATAGTCACAACGTCCATCAATGGGACCGATCAAATAAACGATATTCTGGCCATACTGTAGAATACTAGGCAGTCGTTAAAAAGGATAGCCTTATGTATGTTGATGTGGATTGATGGCTACAGAAGATCATTGTTTCAGAAGCCAATTGTGGAATAACACGTGTATAAAATAATTCAAGTACTGTTTTTTTTAAAAGTATGTATATGTGCACCTAGAAAGAAAACGTCTGGAAAGTAGTTTTACTCCAGACTGTTGAAAATGTCCACTGGTGGTGACATTTTCCCGCTCACAGTGTTGAGCGGGAAGGTGAGGTGGTAGTGAGGGAGAAGTAAGGACTTTACTAGTACATATAACTCTACACAAATTGTGCTGTTTTATTACAGAATAAGTTACAAAAATAAGAGATTTTTTAAAAGAAGTCATTTTTTTCCTGTGAAAGAATATAAGCCCCGCATATGTTTCAGATACCAGCTTTTCCATCTTTTATTTCTACCTAATGCCATGCTAAATGAGTTTCTTCGTGTATAGGATCTCTCTCTGCCTTCTGCCTCCATCCGGCTAAATTAGTCCTGCCACAGAGTCTCCATAGCTGTTCTCATGTTCATGCAGTTCTTAATGTATATCGTTTTGCGGAGGAAGAACAGATTTTAGAAATGTTCCACATCATTGGTTACTTTTATCCTGCTATAATTAAGGATTTAAGGAAATAATGGTTCTTGCTCTGTTTTCTTTGAATTACACAGAAATCACATACGAAATGGGTCAAGGCCAACGTGATTTTATTAGAATGGATTTTTCACAAAATCGCAACCTAGTGATTTATTCGGAAAATAAAATGAAGTAAAACAAACCATAAGGCCCAGAAGGAAACTCAGAGATGTTGAAATTTCAAATATGGAATACATTTAGATAGTTCAAGGGGGAAAGTTCCTGGCAGGAGAGGAAGGCTAGCAGGAAAGGGAGAGGGAAATCTGGGTCGATTGTTTAGCTACCGTCAGATGGTAGCGGGGCGTAACGACAGTGTGAAACTGGTAAGGTTGTTAGATGGGAATAATGGACAACAGAAGCCGAAGAGGTGAAATCCGTTTGAGCTGGCAAGAGGAGAGTGTTATTCTTGCTGGTTTTGCATGGGTTGGGGGGGTGACTTTGAAACTATAGATGGCCGGTTACTGTCATGCCATAAAATTGGCATTTTTGTTCACAGTTCCTTATAAAATGAGAGGGGAGCTCTGGGCTGTTTCTCTGTATAGATGTCATGTATTTCTCTAACTAGACTCATGAATATTTGCATCTTGAGTTCACTTCCTATTGTTTATTTAGACTTTCTAGTTATTTTTTCCTGTCCTTCTCACCATCGGCAGCAACCCTTTTGTGTCCCAGGGCCTTGTCAAAGTGGGCAGATGCTGGAGATTACAGATTTGAGAAGGAAGGGTGTGGACAGACTCCACTCTGTCAGCAAAAACTTGAAGCAAACTAGCCATCATGATTCTTTTTTTTTTTTCCCTCATAATTCATCCTGAAAAGTCATTGAAATCCTCCTGTTTGACTGTCCTCATCCTTTTAGGATGAAAGCCAATATATAGGCACAAATTTTGAAGTCCTACCGGGCTAGCCCCAAAGACCTCACTCCTTCCTTCCCTTCATTTTCCTGCACCTTCTTGCATTCCCAGGGAAAGCTGCCTGTTTATTTTGCCAAGAACCATTTTATTCTGCAGAAACTCTTAATTTTTATTAAACTTTTTTCTAAAAGTTTCCTTACTACCACAAATCACTTAGCACTCCACAGCAACCAGAATCCAGTGAAAGGACTTTATCCTTCCATTAATTCTGGTGTGTTGGTTACACATTTTCCATGCGCATGCGTGTGCCTATGTACTGAGGTAGAGCTAAGTATCACTTGCTTTCTTTCTCTCCTTCCTTGTATTTTTTTATTTCCCTCTGACAGCTTCTTCCCCTTCCTCTTCCTCTCCCACCTAGCCCTTTTCCTGGCCTCAGTGAAATACACTTAGGTCTTCTTTTCAAAATCTATCCCTTGCTTCTCGTTGCTTCTAGTTTGCTCCCTATTTCTGTTTCCACTGGTCACTGGGGATGGAGTAGGGCACTGAGTACAGGAAACCCCAACTGCCTGTTGTATGAAGATTTGCAGCTCCCGAATGGCTGTGAGCCAGTTGTTACTTCGGTTTTATATCATTACAGCCGTCTCTAAAATCTTATTTAGAAAAGCATTCCTTAATAAAGAAAGCACTATGTAAATATGTCACTGAAAATACTTCATTTAGGTGGTTAATAGACCTACAGACTCAAAATCAGTTAATGAATCGAGAGTACCGGACGTGAGGGGAATGATTCGGAATAAAGTCCATGCCTGGATTCATTACAGAGGAAAGACCCTCTACCTGTTCAAGCATTAGATCCATGTGTTTGAAATGTAGCCCGCAGCGTTTGCTCTCCGAATAAGTAAATAGGAATTGAACTTCATTTTTGACCCATTGGATATGGAGCATGTATAGTTGTTTTTTTTTTAATGTTTACTAAACACTAACATTCCCTTTTAAAAATGTGATCGTAGTAGAAAGGTGTCATTATTCCAAGACTAATTATGAGTTTTGGATTGTAGGTCTTGTCGGCTGCAGCAGCAGCAGGCGTATCTGTAGCCTTTGGGGCACCCATCGGCGGAGTGTTATTCAGCCTAGAAGAGGTAACTACTTTTATCTGTCTGTAGAATATGTGTGTTGCTTTCATGTCAGGAATTCTGGCTGGTGTCTGTGGGACATTTAGACTGGAGGTGCTCCGCCCAGCTCATGTGTTACCATTTACTGTGTGACCAGAACTCTCTGGGTAGTTCTCTTGTCCTCAGCTCTCCTTCCTACAGCACTAACTATTCATCTGAAACTGTTCTTTTTTTTTTTTTTTAAAGATTTTATTATTTATTTGAGACAGAGAGAGAGCATGACAGTGGGGAGGGTCAGAGGGAGAAGCAGGCTCCCCACTGAGCAGGGAGCCTGATGCGGGACTTGATCCAGGGACCTGAGCTGAAGGCAGACGACCAACTGACTGAGCCACCCAGACACCCCATACCTGAAACTTTCTGCGTCCTGGTTTACGTTTGCTTTCTCACCCTCTTTCTTCTAGGTCAGCTACTATTTCCCCCTCAAAACGCTGTGGCGCTCGTTCTTTGCTGCCTTGGTGGCAGCATTTACTCTACGTTCCATCAATCCCTTTGGCAACAGCCGCCTGGTTCTATTTTATGTGGAGTTTCACACCCCCTGGCATCTCTTTGAGCTTGTGCCCTTCATTCTGCTGGGCATATTTGGTGGTCTGTGGGGAGCTTTGTTTATCCGCACCAACATTGCCTGGTGTCGGAAGCGTAAGACCACTCAGCTGGGGAAGTATCCTGTTGTAGAGGTACTCGTTGTGACAGCCATCACTGCCATCCTGGCTTTCCCCAATGAATACACCCGCATGAGCACAAGTGAGCTCATTTCTGAGCTATTCAATGACTGTGGACTTCTGGACTCCTCCAAGCTCTGTGATTATGAGAACCGTTTCAACACAAGCAAGGGGGGTGAGCTGCCCGACAGACCAGCTGGTGTGGGAGTCTACAGTGCCATGTGGCAGCTGGCCTTGACACTCATACTGAAAATTGTCATCACTATATTCACCTTTGGCATGAAGGTGAGGAGATTCTTTTGCTACTCAGTGGGTAGATGTGTGGCTATGGGTTTGGGGGGCAAAGCCAAGACATCATACAATCTTCAAAGCTCATGTGGCACTTCCGGCTTCTGGCAGCATTATCCCCCCACCTCAGAAGGCCCCCGCCAACATGTCCTCAACTTCCTAGACAGTAGCAGCTCTACCTAACATCATCCAAGCTGACTTTCAGGCCTCATGCAGACCTCAGTGATGAGATTTAAGAAGAAATGTTTTCTCCTTTCTGGTGAAAAACAGATTTTGCCCCTAAAAAAGGGATGGTGAGGTATTTGTTCACGTGCCTATTGTATTAAAGCAATATCTGACCACCTCATCTGTGGTCCTTATAGGGTGGCTTTAGAGTTTGCCAACAGAGCAAAACATCAAATTGAATCAAACGAAGTAGCCGTTATTCAACCGTTTTGACCACTACAATGGCAGTATTCCATGGTTCGGCCCAGTGGCGCTAATAAATGTATTCTTTACCGTTGTTATCAATGCCCAAGGATCAGAAACTTCACAGGTGATCCCAAGTTAATATTGCAACTGTCAAAAGCAGACATCAGGCCAGCATCTTTTATTTTCAGTACCTGTTATCATTGCCATGTTTCAGAAGAAATCAGAAAGGAACATTTGTTAAGGTATTTTCTTTCTCCTCCCTAGGTTATTTGTTTGTCTTTCCTCTGGCACCCAACTACCAAGTCAGTTCTCTCTCTTCTCTAGGGAAACAGAAGTTCAAACTGGGAAAGAAGATGTCGCAGCATTATAGTTTCTGAATTGATATGTGTCCTCCTCTACACTCCAGAAGGTTTTACAGTGCTTCTTGAGTGATTTATTTTTCCCTGTCATGGCTTTATTCTTTGATTTAAAGTGATAATGTTCAGACCATCCAACCCACCCAGATTCAAATATATTTCACAATTGAACACAGGCTATTTAAGAATAATCTGCTGTTTCATTTTGTCCTTGTCATCATTTCTCTCCCTTCACACAGAACATTGAGAATTCACTGTAGATATCCTAAGAGTCAGGAAAATAGAGGGGGAGACAGCGGAGAGGGTCTTTTGGTGGGAGTGGCGGTGGGGTTGTTTTGTTTTGTTTTGTTTTGTTTGGATACTCATACAACCACAGTTACTGCCGCATTAAAAAATGTAATCATTTCATCTTTCTTTATACTATTACAAAATAAAATGTGACCTCGTATACAATCCTTTTAATGTGACTAGTGGGTTAAGATTCAGTACATGGGAGTGGTTAGGAACACCGATTGTGTTTCATCCCTGGCACTGGTATCTACTGTAACTTGACCTTGGGTGAGTTGTTTCACCTCCCTGAACCTTGAGTTCTTTGTGATTGGGTAATCATGATGCCTGTCTCCCCGGGGTGGTTGTCTAGAACTGGGGGAATCCTGTCAGTTGAGTATCCAGCATAGAACATGGTAGATGGTCAGTAGAGGGGAATTTTTGTTGCTGAGAATTCAGAATGGGGAAAATGTCTGCATATGTGAGAAATTCCATCTATTTTCCTTTTTCTTTGGGAAAGGCTTAATTTCTGCCCTCCAGTTCTATGTTGGTCTGGAGAGTTCAGGCTCTTGCCAGATGGACCCCCAAATCAGGGTAAGCTTCTTTGCAGTCGTACTTGCCTGCACGTCCCAGAGAACCTCTAGCCCCTGTAGCGTTACACACATCTTTATGGCCACTTGCTAGCATAGTGCATAGTTAAATTGGCATTGGCCTGTTTGCTTCGCAGAGGGTCAGTCCTCTAGCCCTTAACTGTATGCCAGGCGAGTGCATCATTCCTCCTTAAGCACCTGTTGCTTTCTCTTTGCAGATCCCTTCTGGCCTGTTTATCCCCAGCATGGCTGTTGGTGCTATAGCAGGTCGACTTTTAGGAGTGGGAATGGAGCAGCTGGCTTATTACCACCACGACTGGGCCATCTTCAATAGCTGGTGTAGTCAGGGAGCGGATTGTATCACTCCTGGCCTTTATGCGATGGTTGGGGCTGCAGCCTGCTTAGGTGAGTAGTGTCTGCATTGACCTTGAAGAAGTTGCCACCCAGGTGATGTAATAAAGAAGCATGATATGAAACATGGTTCACTGCAGATTTTTTTTTAATGACCATTTCCTGTTGGGTTTGCCATTTTTTCAAGTGCTTTAAGGAAGTATTCTTTATCATATAGCTATTTTCCTCCCTTTGGGGAGCAATTTTATTCTCAAATTTCATCATACTAAGGAAATGATCAGAAACTTGGAGAAGGATATCTGCTCAAGAATGTTCATTGCAGGATTATCTATGATAGCAAGAAGTTGGAATCAACTTAAATATGTACAGGAAAGGACTGGTTAAGTGGATTATGGTCCATATAACCGGGTAATATTATACTATGTATCTGTTAGGGGCACCTGGGTGACTCAGTGGGTTAAGCCTCTGCCTTCGGCTCAGGTCATGATCTCAGGGTGCTGCGATCGAGCCCCACATTGGGCTCTCTGCTCAGCGGGGAGCCTGCTTCCCTATCTCTCTGCCTGCCTCTCTGCCTACTTATGATTTCTCTCTCTGTCAAATAAATAAATAAAATCTTTACTATGTAGCTATTAAATGTGATCCTAATATTTAATATTTTTAATATAACATTAAATAAATTTGTGTTAATACACAAGATGTTCCTGACATAAAGTGGGGGGCGGCATGGTGGGGAGTTAAACGTGTAATATGAGCTCACTTACATAAAAACATGTATTTTTACATCATGAAAAACTTGCAGAAGTCATTCAGAATTTTTTTTTTAAAGATTTTTTATTTATTTATTTGACAGAGATCACAAGCAGACAGAGA